GGGAGGGAGGGAAGGAGGGAGGGAGGGAGGGAGGGAGACAGAGAGAGAGAGAAGAGAGAAAGAGAGAAGAAGAGAGACGAAGAGAAATGATTGTTATTAAACCGTATGGTGCTCGTATTCTTTGTATTATTTAAAAGCACATACAAAACTTTCTTTGTCGAAATTCGCTGCATAAGTGAAATTTATTATTATCCTTATTATCATTATCATCATCATCATCATCATCGTCATCATCATCATCGTCATCATCATCACCATCATCATCATCATCATCATCATCATCATCATCATCATCATCATTATCATCATCATCATCACCATCATCATCATCATCATCATCATCATCATCATCATCATTATCATCATCATCATCATGATCTTGCAGAAGGGCTGTTCACACTCACTTTTTTGAACACTTGCTTAAGTAGTCATTGAATGTTTCTGTTCTTCAAAGGGGGGAGGCAGGGGCTACACCTTAAAAGTCCCGTATCGGCTCAAAAATGTGGATTTCGAGATGTAGGCATGTTTGGCTTCTTCAGCCACTCTTACAGTTATTTCATCGTATAAGAACCCATTAAAGCATTTTTTTCTGATACCTGGAAGTTAGTCACCTCCATTTCCTCATAAAGTCAATCTCTCACTTTTCTATTATATATATATGTGTGTACTTTTTAAAATAACTCAACCATTTTCATTCAGTCTTCATGAAATTGTTACAGAATTAAGAAAAGATGAAAAACTAAATGTCTGTTAGTTGAATTTTCAATATGGAATAGATTTTGATTGGAGCGTGGGTTTTCACGGATTTTTAGCAAACGTGAATACTACCTCAGGAAATAAATCATCAAAATGTTGTAATTCACTCACGAAAAATTCAACAGACAAATTTGTAGATCTATTGTTTGCTTACATGAAGGCAAAAAAATAAACAAAAAGCCAACACAATTTCATCTAAAAATAAGTGCGTTATTCATTGCGTAAAACATTTCAACAAAATCCAGTATGGCCACCGTCTCCATGGCAACGAAACTTTTTTCTCACATTCAGTTGCGTATTTTAAGACTCCTCTATATGCTTGCTATTAATTATGTGTGAAATCTGGTAAAATGTAATCCACTAATAAACGATATAGCCCCCGGGTGTAGACTCCGTAAGGATTGGACTCATTTTAACTGAAACTGCCGTTAGCTATAGCTACAGAAAATGCTCGATTGAAAATAAAACAATTTCTTTAAGAGTCCAAGGTGAAGCAGGCTCAGAATAAAATCAATGACAATAGAAGCAATTTTAAAGAACTTTTAAAAATCATTACAGGCCTCTTACATCATGAAAGTACAGTCAACCCAACACCACAGAGAGATCACTGATCACTTAAACAACAAAATTATAAAGATTAGAGACGAGTTTGGTGAAACTCCAACTGAAATAGAGGTTGCAAATTTAAATTCATCTTTAAATGAATTTCAGCCTGCAACAAATGAGGAAAATTTCAAGATACTTACAACCTTTGCCCATGAGACCTGTTTGTTAGATGCCATTCCAACTTTGCTGATAAAACACTGTTGCAGAAGTTACACCAGCATTAATTTTTATAGTAAACAGCAGTCTCCAAGAGGCTTATGTCCCACCCATATTTAAGCATGCTCTCGTAACATCACTGCTCAAGAAATCAAACTTAGACAAAAGCCTCATGAGCAGCTACCGTCTAGCCTCCAGTTTGAATTCCTTATCAAAAGTACTGGAGAGGCTAGTATCATCACGTCTCAAAAACTATCTTTCAGCCTAGGGTCTTGCCGCTAAATTTCAATCAGCCTATAGAGAGTTTCACAGCACAGATACTGCCCTCCTTAGAGTACACAATGACATCATCCGATACGCTGATCAAATACAGTGTGCAGTCCTTATTTTTCTTGACCTGAGAGCAGCGTTTGACACCATCGATCAAGACTTTTTATTACAGCTGCTCAGAGTATACTTCGGCATCGGAGGATCTGCATTCAAATGGCTGGAATCCTATCTCTAAGACCGATCCAAATCAGTTCAACTTACATCTTCTTATGGCAATACTACATCAGAGGCTGGCAGTGTGAGATTGTTGTCAGTTCAGCTTCATTATAGAGTCCCTCAAGGCTCAGTCCTTGGGCCTGTGTTATTTACACTACACAACTCCATTGTCTGATATTGTTATGCAACACAAGTTTGAACTTCACTTGTTTGCCGATGACACCCAGCTGTACATACCAATCAACTGGGGCGAAGAAGATCAACAGATTTCAACTCTTCAAAACTGCCTTCAAGATATCAAGGATTGGATGTTTGACAATAAACTTAAACTTAACGAAAACAAGACAGAAATAATCTTAAAGGGAACAAATAACTTAGGATCAAAATGTACAATTTGAGAGTTTGGATCTAGGCAATGCAACTGTTATGGTGGAAAAATCAAGTGCCATACGAAATCTTGAATTTTATTTTGACCCTGATTTTTTCATGAAAACACAGGTCACTAAAACTTGTCAAACCATGCACTTCCATCTTAGAAACATTGGTAAAATAAGGAAATTTTTTTATGAAAGTGCCACGAAAATTCTTGTTCATACTTTTATTTTAAGTCACTTTGATTATTGTAATTCCCTTCTTTTTGGCATTCCAGATTCTACTCTTGCCAGACTTCAAACTTCAAATGATTCAAAACAGACAGCAAGACTTGTGACTTTAAGAAAAATTTCAGACCATGTCCATGATATTTTGAAAACCTTCCATTGGTTGCCAGTGAGAGAGCGCATTGAATTAAAAATTTTGTGTATGGTTTATAGATCTTTACATCAGTGCTCACCAAATTATCTTTCAGAACTTATGGAAACGTATGCACCATCTTGTAATTTAAGATCTTCGAAAGACCATAATCTCTGCATGCCAAGGCCCAGAACAATGTTGGGTGAAAGGACTTTTGCCATCTTGGCCCCAAAACTTTTGAACAATTTGGATTTAGATGTTAAAATGTCTCTTTCAATTATTGATCAATTTAAATCCAAGTGTTTTCATGGAAAAATCAGGGTCAAAACAAAAGCCAAGATTTCGTATGGCACTTGATTTTTCCACCTTGCTACACCCCCATCGACACAATTTAGCTAATTTCGGAATTGTGCTTCGGTCCTGCCAGTCAGGCCTCCCGCCAGAAATATCGAGATATCCAATATAAATTTGCCCCAAATAGGAATAGAAAAACAGGTTCACGAAATAGATTTACTTTTGCTTTTCTTTTTTTCTCTGTAGGTTCAGGCACGCTATGTTTACTATTTAAAAAATAATAATAAAATACAGCTTGAAGGGAATGCTGCGGTTAAATACTGTTCCCGGCACATAATATTGGTTTTTTAAATCTTTTACTGTGAAAAATTCAAACTGAAATACTTTTCGTTCCCGTTTTACTTTAACTTTAACATTTGGTCATTGACCATATTTTGTCTATTTCCAGCTGTACCTACCTCCCAAATCCAGGTGAGAAACCGGGCATTCACACGCTCGCAAAGCGGAACCCAAGTGCTAGCGATAGTTCGCCAAGGAGGAACCTGGACGTCTTCATCAGTTGTTTCCTGTGCCATGACGTGCCTGGCGACATTTGAGGACTGCTACAGCTTTCTCTACCAAAACGCCACGAAGACATGCACACCCGGTGAGTTTTGTCGTAATATTACGATCCAATCGACACAGCTTAAGCAATTCATGTTTTTATCAATTCTAACACCTGCGAAGGCACAAAGCTTAAGCAGTCAAATATATCGTTTTCTTATAAACAAAAGGTAAAATTTTTAATCATTCAGGTGGTTGGCTGCTGATGGCTGCTGCACAACTCGGGGGATTATCTCCCAGTCATGGGATTTGAGTGCATGGCGAGGGCTTACATCTGAGGGCTCAAACCACAATGGCTTTTTGACACAAGTTAGTTAAAACCTTCTATCATGGTGGTTAATAGTTTTCTGTACCAGGAGCTGAAAATGTGGGTGGCTGAAGGGTGTTACTGATAGCTAGTACTTTTCTCTCTCCTTCTATTTTTTGTTAATATTTTGTTTTGCGGGGGGGGGGGGGTCGTTTTATTTTTCCAACCATTGGAATGCCGTTATCATGTCAGCGCCGTTTTGTTTACTAAAACTTTTTTTTTCAACAACAAAGGATACGAGTAGATCTATTTAAGAAAAATGTGTTCGCCTCTTAGCTAGTTATCCTGCCCTTTCGTCTAATCGATTCCTTACAAGCAGAGATGCTTTTAAATTGATGAATGAGTTCCAGTTGCTAAGTTTTACATGTAGTTATAGAGGTAGAAATAAAAGTATGGCTTGGGTATTTGATTAAAGGCATTCTAGCCTTTCATCACTTCTTTTGAGAACCAGCCAAGGATCCACACCTCAGATGTTGAGTTATAGAGATTGTTGACATGAGATAAATCGACATTAGCAGCACAGTGTCTAGTGAAATTCGATTTGTATACCGTCTAGCTTCCCTCTCACCCAGGTCTCAAGGTCGATGGCCGGGTTCAGAATTTTTTCAAACAGATGTCATGACGTTATGCTAAAAAGGATCTGCCTTTTTTTAAAGTTGTTTTTACGCCTTACAAATGGGAGAAATAATATGGTTTTTAAAGGGGCGAAGGCTGACTTGTTTGACAGGGTAATCAAAGTGAAATGGGACCAGATAGGGCCTGGAGATATCATACTCACACAAGTCACAAGAATCTTACTGGCAGTGGAGGCGGCAACTCTTGAGTTGTGAATGAAAACAAATCCTGAATTCATGTTGTATGCTTGTTCAACCACTAAAACAATCGGGAAAGTATTTCATTAAATATTTATTCTAACTAACCTTAAATTTAACTTTAGATTTGAACACACGAACACCAAGGAAAGAAGCACAGATGTCAGCACTACAATGGCATGTTGTACCAGACAGCCGAAACACTTTGGTAGAGCACGCCAATTATTATTTTTTTCTTATTTCACATTTGGCTGTTTTTTGTCTAGCTTTTCGAGGCCAGGAGCCGCTGTCATAATCGAGGTCACGATCTGATTATAGGCCGTTAAAAAGTCGAGGAAAAAAACAAGCACTAGCAGTGTAGTCGGAGCACCGGGGAGTTAGTTCCCCTCACATCTGCGAGGTAGACTCGACCAGTGTAATAGTTCGCTTAGATAATCAGCGCGTCTGGGTGCTTATAACTGTGGCCCGAAAGGGGTGAACAGGGTATATGCGACAATGAAACAGTTCTGACTGCTATGCACATGTTCCCTTCAAATCTATTGGTTGACTCTTCAAGTCTCACTTTAAGCTTACTTAATCAAAGCTTCTGACTGCTTATGGAGTGGCCCGATAGGGGCGAACGGGCTATTTCTGTGGCAATGAAACGGTTTTGAAGGTTAGGCATAGTCTATTGTTCATTGGTGATTATGAACGTCTTTTTACATTTAATTTATGAGGTTTACGTCTATGGGTGAATTTGACTGCGACAATGTTTCAAAATTAGGAAGGGAAGCAGTGATTATTTGATTATATAGACGCTTTGCCTCTGGGTTTTTTTGATGTTATAAGATATACCATTCTTTTACGGGAAAAGGGCAGTAAGCAAAAGCTATCCTGTTCGGCCTATCTGAGTCCGTGCTAGGAGAAAACCTTTCAGGTGTTAAAAAGATATAAAAAAAGAAACTGGTTTACTTTTTGTCACTTTTCCCCCTCTTATTCAAGCCAGTGATGGGGAAACTGCAGGGTGACCCAAAGATATAAAGAGAGCAAGAAAACTTCAAAACTTTTCTTGGGGGGAGGGGGGGGTAAATAGATCTATATCTTCTCCCACACTGAAGCTATACGTTTCAAATCTGAAGAGTTGAGGTTTTTTTCTTCTCAGTATTGTGAGTAAAATAAACAACAATTTTCAGTCATGTCCCCATTTTTGTAGCATAACGCACCAGCCCGCATTAGACAAAACGATGACACCTTATTGCAAGCTATAGTAATCTAAAAAGTCAACAGAAGTTTGCAGATAATATAAGAGTTTTCTCGAGTTTTCTTTGCCTTGCTGAGGTCGCGGTTAAGTTTTAGTAAAGAGCAGAGAGTCTTTCGTATTAAACGTTACCACGTCACCAGCTCATTTTGAATGGTTCGCATAATGTAAGCTTACTCTTACTTTATTTTATCCGCCGCTTATACCCTTTTGGGTGTCACGGCACAATGTACGTAAAGAATACGTAAGTGCCCTCGGGGCCTTCTGTGGTGCCATTGGTAGAGACGTACCGTCAGTGTGGACCTATAGAGAATCAGAACCTTAAACAATTCCCAGAAAAAACAACTACTTCAGATAGTACACACACCATTTGCAACCCTTTATAAGTCACCAGGGTGCAGAATTTAGTAGTGGGGCCCCGTAAAACGTCTCTCCATAGACGATGCGTGTAGCTAAGACTTCCCTACATCACAACAGTCCACATTCTCAAAAAAAGATTTTCGTCTACGACAGTTAACTACCAGTTTCCTGTGCGCTAGGCCGAGATTACGTGAATCAGTGGATAGGAATGCGTTCACTCATGATTCCTTGATAGTCTTGATAGACGTGAATATTTCCTCGTTGACATATTTGGTTAAGTTGCAAGGTCCATGTTCACCTTTCAGGATATGTAAACTCCACAAATGCTGTTTATGGTGCACCTCATCCACCCATTGTCTCTAGAAGCCAAGTTATACAGAATATATACAATGTGTGTGACTTTATATACTTATGGGTTGGCGGGTCATTGTGTTTGTCCACCTCTGAACATTACGAACGACACATTCAACATGAGTCTAGTCCAAAAGAGGACATGTAGAGCACTGGTTCTAGGAATTCCTGAATAAAATAAATGTTACGTTTTTTACTTTGTAAGAGAAAGAAATATTGTTTAATGATGTTACAGAGATGGAAAAATTAAATATTAAAAAGAAAAGGAAGACCAAAAAGGTAACCAACAGTTTCATGACTTTCCTTATAATATTTTTTTGTTGATTAGTGCGTTTTGCATTTATGGGTTTTAGTCTTTGAAATTCGTTTCCGTTTTCGAAAATACGTTTCTTCTTATTTCATACTATCTATGTCAAATAAATTCCCTTTGAATGAATTAAATCTGCGTCTGTTCCAGATTATAACATTCTAGAATACATTTCGTGAGAGACATTAAGAAAAAATATTGTAAACTTTCTTCTTCTCTGTTTATTTGCTTGTTTGTTTGTTTGTTGGGGTTTTTGGGGGGTTTTTTTGGTTGTTGGTTTTGGGGTGCTTGTTTTTTATCACCCTGTATTTTCCATTTGTCAATAGCTCAATTTTCCTTAAATGGGACTTATCTCTGATTTCCTCAGGCTGCTACATATATCTTATGTTACCAAAGTATCCCTAATTCAAGAAATAAAAACCGTGAGCCATTCATTGACTCCAGGTTCAGCGTTTTCCTTCAGTGAGCAGCCCCCTAGTCCGGCAGAGGGCATTCTCTACCTGGCCAAAGCGTGCGACCAGTCACAGGAGTTCGTGAACCTCTGGATATCCGCAGGGACGACAATCTGTGTGTACGTCTCTGAGACCACGGCCAGATATCACGACGCCAAGAATATCTGTCAAGGTAGGGAAGCAGATTATTGTCTGGTTCTTTTGTTGTCGATCCTGGGCGAATGTGGAGGGATGTTTGGGCTTTTCGTAATTTCGATCCACCCCTCTCGCTCTCTCTCTCTCCCTCCCTCTCTCTCTCTCTCTCTCTCTCTCTCTCTCTCTCTCTCTCTCTCTCTCTCTCTCTCTCTCTCTCTCTCTCGGTATATAGCTTCATTCTGCTCTTTTTCACTTTAGTCCACTCTATAACTAAGATTTAGTCTAATCGACAAGTTTTATTACTATCTCCAAAATCGTTAAGAAGTTGCGTGAGAAAATATATATTCAGACACCATCACAATCTTACTCATTATCACACTTTACCTTTTATTGAATTTTATCTTTGGGTGATTTGAGTCACTTCCGATAATATTAATACCGAATTTACTGTACATGATTATACAACAAGTCTTTCCTTTTTTAGTGAAAGTGTATTTACACCCCAATTGACACTGTTTAGATCATTCCCGATCCTGCCTGTTAGGGACAGCTCGAGCTGAGAGGAATACAACATCCCAGCAAAAAGTCCGAGATATTCGATTAAAATTTCCTCATCACTTGGGCGTCGATAGTCTAGTGGTTAGGCTACAGGACTCGTAATCATGAAATTTGAGCCTCAGGCCCGACGTTTTATCCTTGGCAAAGGCACTTTTCATGAATTTTCCTCACTTTATCTAAGTGGGAATAGATACCTGGCCATAGACTGCGAAAGATCTTGCCAGTGTGTTAGTATTGCAGCGTCTATGAAATGGCGGCTTACACTGTATGCTTCTCAGGGAGTTGAAATAAATAGTTTCAGAATGCTATCAGGTCTTCTGGAGTAGTTTTGAGAATTTGCACGTTACAAATGCTATCAAATATCGTTATTACTATTATTTAAATCATTTTATTAATTTATTATTTCTTTTTTTTTAGGGTCTCCTGCGTGCGACAGCGAAGAGCCTAACCACTACACCGTTAAGATGGACGTGCAGTTGAAGCCGTCTTAGACGGCAGCTCATTGTTGAGGAGAAAAGTAATGTAAAAACGTACACATGTAAAGAGGGCATTGGTACAGATATTCGTCTCGAGTCATACAGGTGGTCGGTAAAGCAGGTTCGACTTTATTGTATGAAATAGACTCCCTAACGGAGATAAAACTCACCTCGGAAGGACTTCCGTAACGAGTGACTACATCAACAAACACAACACAGAAGAGACATAACCCTAACCCTAATAAAAATAATAATAAAAATAATAATAATGAAGATTATTTACACTCCCGTGTAAACATAGCTCTAGGCGCTTTACATAAATGCATGTACGAACAATATTCACGCACGCGACACACACACACACGCACGCAC